AGAAAGCTTTAGGGGCGCGGACTCAATAAAGCCCTCGGCGCATACGCCGTCGGAGAACCACCTTCAGCTTTTGCCACTTCGCGACACGTAACATGCGCATGCGTACAGCGGCTGGCGGCCCCTCTCCGTTATGCCCTTTCGCGGTCAAGAGAACTGCACCTGCGCAACATTCCCTGACCGGGCGACGGGTTGAGCGTGCGCCTGTGCGGTCCCGCAGTGCCCCGGAAACGCTTGCTTGGGCTGCTTCCGGCCACCTCAGCCTAGCCGGCTGGACCATGTCGGGGGTGGCGGGTTGTAGCGTGGGGGCTGCGGGCTCAGTGGGCTCGGTGGTGCGGCGTTCGCGGTCAAGAGAACTGCACCTGCGCAACATTCCCTGACCGGGCGACGGGTTGAGCGTGCGCCTGTGCGGTCCCGCAGTGCCCCGGAAACGCTTGCTTGGGCTGCTTCCGGCCACCTCAGCCTAGCCGGCTGGACCATGTCGGGGGTGGCGGGTTGTAGCGTGGGGGCTGCGGGCTCAGTGGGCTCGGTGGTGCGGCGTTTCCTGGCGGAGTAGCGGGCCGCCCTCAAGGTGCTGGACGCCTACCTTGTCTACGTGCTGCTCAGCGGGGCGCTCCAGTTCGGCTACTGCCTTGGCGTCGGCACCTTCCCTTTCAACTCTTTCCTCAGCGGCTTTCTCTCCGCCGTCGGCAGCTTCATCCTTGGCGGTCAGTGCTCCTCCACGCCGGCCCCGGCGGTTCGCCCTGGAATCCCCGTCGCAAGCGCGCCCTCCGTAGCAAAGCCTGAGCCCCACCCCTAGCCACCGCGGTACCCCCAGCAATTCCCAGAGGTCCCTGGCTATCAGAGCCATGCCCTGGAAATGCCAAAATCTCTTGTAGTAACCGCAGGATTACTGCCATTACTGCCAAGGATACTGCCAAGGCAGTCACCCACAGCAGCCCTGACACCTACTCCAGCAGCCACGGAGTCCCCATGGCAACCTCCAGCACTCCCTGCCACTTCCCCTGTGACACCCAGTTCTGCTCCCAGGAAGGCCCAAGCTCCTGGCCCAGCCTGGCCTGCAGCAGGATGCTTCACAGCAGCTGTGAATCTGTGGGAGTCCTGCCCATATGCACCACAGAATCTGGCATCTTATTAGCCCCGGCTTGTCCGTGCTTTTCCCTGGCAGTCAAGAAGCCCTCCCTTTTACCATCTTGTATTGGTGTTCTTCAGCAACCCCCCTGTGGTGAAACCCAGCTCTAGCAATGACTGCTTCAGGGTGTTGCTCTCCTGTCATATCTCTCCAAACCTGAAGGGGGCCTACAAGAATGCTGGGGGGGGGACTTTTTACAAGGGCCTGTAGTGACAGGGCCAGGGGGAATGGGGTTAAATTGAAAACGAGGGGATTTAGATTGAA